TGTAGGTGCACTCCCCGCTTGAGGGTGGAAGGGCTCTGCTTTTGTATCTGTTCAAAGCAGGGAGACAGGTAGCACGGACGGTATTACTGCTGTTTGGAGGACAAGGAGAGATACTTCCTGTACAAAACAGAACTTTGAAGAAGTCGCTCTCAAACAGGAGAGCCAAACACCTCTCCAAGCGTTTCATGACGTGAGTTGTCGGGGTGGAGAAAACAAGTCCCGAGTTTTGACAGCCAAGTTCGTGTGGAGACGTGGCTGTTGCGGTGGCTTCACTGGTGGTTTGTGGAGAGCAGCGAAGGAGCACCAACAGCTTTCTCATGGCACGTTCTGTCCCAGTCTGTGTGACTCTGGTCTCCCGTCGCGTCCTCCTGACACTGTTGGATCTACCTCAGTGGAAATCCGTAGGAACACATTGTGTGATTGAGGCTTCTTAATGGTTTTTTTACCTTATTTCTAGTGGGTGGACTGGATAAGTGATTCTATGGGAAACAGGCAAGAGAATACAAAAGTGTATTTTCCAAACTCTTGGAACACCATTTGTTGGGAACGAGTGAGTGACTGAAGTCTTGGTTCCTGCACCTAGCTGTCACTGTCCCTGCTGTGCATTGCAGAGGTGGGCCAGAGTTGTCAGTTGATTTATTCCATGAACGTGGAGCAAAGTCTTGTCCTAAGTGGAAAATTCTGCATGTTGTTAGCGTCTCTTCTGATATGAAGAGGGTCGACAAGGTTAACTGTTCAAAGGATGCTTCAGTGAGCTTTTAAGGTGAAAATATTTTAGATACACAATCCAATGAATCCAATTCTTTTTTTAAACGTCTTGGTTGAAAACTGCCTTCAGAGTGCCTTCCACTACTGAAGAGCCTTCTGTAGCAGAGGAAAATCTCTAAATTGTTACTTGCTGTGTCACCTTGCTGAGTTGTTTCCCCCCTGGCTTACATAAACCAGCAGGATAAACAGGCACAGGAAATGGCTGGTTGTTCTACATCGGCAGAGAGCGATCCAAAGTGCCTGCTGCTGTGAAAAACACTCAGTTCGCCTTTTTAAAGAAGATTTGACTCCTTCTCCTGCTTTTTCTTGGTTACTTTTAAGCATAAAGGATAATTTTTTTCCTCGTAACTCTGGATGGGAAGGCTTGGAATTACTTCAGAAAATTCGTTTTTCCTTTGAACGCCCTTTCTCCCCTGTGTGATGGTGCTGGCGTTTCTGTATCAAAAGGGTTGGACTGTCGACAGTTACCATGATCCTTGTCTTCATCCCAGCTTTGAATCCAGTGGGCTACTGAATAGGCAAATAAAACCGGCTTGTTGAGGAAGATGAAACAAAGCATCTGACTGAATTCCTAATTTCATTAGAGGGAAGATGGAGACAGGTAAACATCAAGAGGAGGAGATGAATCTATTTATGCTCAACCCCTAACATGACTGAATTTGCAGGAAGATCAGCTGAGAGCAACCCCCAGCCTTGCTGCAAGGGCCTTTACCTGCAATGCAGAGCTGTGCATCTGCAGCTGGGTGGTGGAGGCAAAGCCCTCTTCTCCCTCGCCCTTGCACAGAGCTCTGCTGCGTTCCAGGAGAACCAGCCCCTCCGCCCGCCGTTGATGTCCCCCCACTTCCCCAACGGTGTGGCATCTGATTTTTAATGGCTCTTTCGAAAACTATTGGGCTGTCTTCGGGAATATCTTTATCAATGGGAGGCCGTGCTTCGTGCAGGTAGGTTACCCTCTGTCGTTTTTTATTTATTTTTTTTTTCTGGTCTCATGAATTTGCAGTTCTTCAGGCATCCCTGAGAGAATAAGGACTTTCGGGAGGGTCTCTAGGTGTGGGTTCACACAATATCCGTGAAAGATGTGGCATTTTGCCTTAGCGTTGCTGTTCCACGTTGTTTTCCTTAAGTGAAATATTGCTGTGTAGTTGTAGAGAGACCCTGAAAGTCCAATTAATTCTGATGATTAATTAGCACATTGAGGGAGCAAAAGTAAAAGGTGATCAAGGTGTCCTTAAGCAGAACAGAGGTAGATATAAAAAAAGTACCCTAAAACACTTGATTTTTTTTTAATGTGTGAAGCATTAACCATTTTTATAGGCTTTTTATATATTTTGTCTGCATTTTGTAATATTGCTGACAGCTGCTTAAGCTGTCATCTTTAAATACCAGGTATGGATTTTTATGCTGTCTTTTTATAAGCCTTTTGTGCCTTTTAGAGTGCTGTCTGTGAGTGAAGCAGACAGATGAGGGCTGGGGGTTTGTGTATCAGTTTTTCTTTGGTATTAATACATATTCTGCACTGATTAAGTCTCTCTTAATCCGTATCTGCAGTTGATGTGGTCACTTTGGAGGAAGAAGGTGGTGGGATGTAATAACATCTAATGAATTTTCATAGGAAGGCAAAGGAATGAGATGTGTTTTGGGGATGATTTCAGAAAGGAAATAGCACTGTAGAAATGGATGTGACCTGAATACAGCTCGCTATCCCATTAGTTGGTGTAATAGGTTATAACACAGCAGTGAAATGCTTTTGGATCCCCAGGACAGGCTCAGATGCAGACTACGGGGTGTGCCGTGTACGAGGTCGTCAGCAGCACGATTCGTCAGCCCTTCTCGGAGGGGTGCAGAAAGCTTCCGAGGGGATGGGGTTTAGTGCTTCCAGTAACTTCTTCCCTGGTGCATGAAATCACTGTTATTGAGAAGCGTTGGGACTGCAGAATGGCGTGATGTTTCTGTCTGCATCAGTGGCTCTTAAGACGAGCTTTCTTTTGAATCCATTCTAATCCCCTACATCTTGCACAGTGACAAAAGCGAAAATCTTGAAACAGCATTGAGGAGAAATTTGCTCTTTATGCTCTGAGTGTGGCTACTGGGCTTAAATTCTCTTTTCACTTCAGTTGTGCATTCTGGTTCTCTTTATCCTGTCTATAGGATTAGTTATGTGTGAGCATCCAGTCTCCCCTTCAGCCATTCTGTCTGTGGCCCTTTCTTGCCTTTGCTGCCTGCTCTAATCCAGGGATAGTCTGTGACTTTATGTGCAGCTCAGTTGTCCCCAAAGGAATGCAGCAGTTGTAAAGTAGCTTTTTGACCTCCAAGACTTTTCTTTTTCCTCCCCTGGTTTCCTTCTTCCTACCCTCTGACTTGTAATTTTGTGGCTCACAGGGGATGAAAAGTCTAATACTAAATATCTTGGGGCTGGATGGGGCTGGGGAGTTGTTAGTAAATGTCTCATTCGCCTCCAGCAGTGGAACAGACTGGCTGGCAGTCGTGCATTAGGGTTCAGGGCTACTAATCTGTGTTGCTTACCTGTTCCTGAATCACAAAATCAGCAGGACTTACTAGCTCTGAGAACCGACTGAAATAAGTGGCGGGTGGTTTGGTTGTGCCTGGGATGACCTTTGTAGCTCCCCTGTGCTTTACTGAACGTCAGTTCCAGGTTGTAAATGGCTGCAAGCTTGGTCATGATTAGGTTGGAACGGGTAATTTCTTCCTTCTCGTGCTCCATAGGTGTTTAAGAAATACCAAATTTGTCCCGTGGACTCAGATTAGTTAGGGCAGCCGTGGTAACGATGCACAAGACTTCAGCTCTGCTATAAGCTGCAAAAACCGCATCCGAAAGCCCACACGCATTAACATGCTGGCGTAAGCAGTGGCTCTCTCAGCAGTTACTCCTTTGAGCAAAACTAGTTGAATTTGAAGCCGGGTGGTGGAAGGCATCACTTGTGTCTGCTGCTTCGCTGGAACAATAGTTTCAGTACGAGAAACTTCCGCTAATTCTCGCTGACAGGGAAGCTCGCTGGCAAGAATGTTATCTCGTGCTTGTGCGCCGCAGCTGGAAAGAAATTTGTTGCCCACCTCCAGCTTGTTTTAGTATCTCACACTTAAAGAAAGCTCAAAGAAACATTTCCTTAAAGAACATTAATGTTAATATCCCGCAGTACTTTCCCATTAAATCTTGCCCATGCAAATGGGCTGTAGGCACTGTTCTCACGTACAAAAGGGTGTTGAAGATTCAACTTTGTAGACAATCAACTATTCCCTGTAATGCTTTGTGAATTAAATAACTTACCTGTTTTAGGATTATAGTTTCAGGAGCTCTGTGGCTGTAAGCAGTGTGCTGCCACGAAGGAGCTGCTGGGGCGCAGGGCAGGCAGCAGCTCAGGGAACAGCTTAAATCCCCAAGAGCAGTGGTGGCCTTTGCCAGTGTGATCTTCACGAGCAGGAACTCGGAGCAGCACACTTGGTGAAAAGTGGAACACACAAAATTAATGGTTTTATTTATGAAGATAGGAGTGAAGGAAAAAAAACCCACCACCTCGAGGCCTGGTTGCAATCCCTCTGCCATCACACGCTCTCAGAAGGGTTTGCAGAACATCTGCTCTGCGTACTCCTGCTCTTCATGGTTCGGGCTGCCGTAACAAACTTTAGACTTTCAGTGAAGAGACAAACTAGAAACACAGCCTACTGTGTGAGAACAGGAGCAACCAAGGGCAATATTAAGGATTTTAAGAGTTCTAAAGTGTTGGAAGAAGAAGGGTTGTTGATCTTGAAGGTGAAAGGGACAAAGGGCACAAGTTCTAAAACACTGCTTTAATTTTTTTTCCAAAGGAGTAAGAATTAATCGATGTGAGCCTGTAAAATAACATTCATCAGCATTTAAATCTTCAGGTTTTATATGAGGTAACATCTTAAAGTATAGATTTGCTTTAGAAAAGTCTAAAGACGAACATTTTGGTGGGATCACTAAGCTTTTAACTCGCCGTCTTGTCTGGCCTTTTCTTTGTTCCACTATAAAAGCGAATCCAGGGCATTCAGTTGTGTCTCTCACTAGTAGAAGAAAAGTTGTTTCTGTCTACGTTGATTCTAGCTTAGGAGTAAAAGCATTTAAATGTGAAAATAGTATTTCTGGGGACTGAATATTGCATCTGCTCCGTTATCAGCAAGCCCTCGCGTGAAGTGAAAGCTCCTGCACTGATGAGTAACGTGTGTGAGACATGCAGTGTGTTCTCTTTCAGACCCGACACTCAGCACCGGGGCCCTGCTGCTCATTCAGAGAATGATCTTCCAGAGCAGGAGGAAGAAATCCTGGGATCAGATGACGACGAACAAGAGGATCCAAATGACTACTGTAAAGGTGAGAACTGCCCTGTTTAAGGTGCAGGATTTTCAGTGTAATCAAGAAATTCCCTTGATTTCCCATCTGCTGTAGAGAATAAAAGTAGACTCCCTCTTATATTGAGTGGTTTTTGAAACTGCATGGTGATAATAACATTTTTCAAGCTAACCTGGAATGGAGAAACTATTATCTGAAATTCCCACTGTTATCAGTCAAGATTTGAGTTGGAGAGCTGTTTTTAATGTGTGTGTTTAAAGCTGTGCCAGAGGGCTTTCAAAACTGGTAAAAGTAAGTAGGCATTCAATTTCTTTTTGATTTTCATCAAGAAAAGGACACCTTCAAATTAATTTCAAATTCTCCACTGTTTTCTTGTGAAGATCATCTTAGTATCCATGCTTCGGATAACTTTGTGAACGTAGTCTTCCACTGATGTCTGAGTAGAAACTAAATACAGAGCAGATGGGAATATCACATATATAATTCTGTATCAAAAGGATCAGGCTTTTTTTAACATAGCAAATACTTTAAAAGAGGCAGAACACTGATCAGACAAATTCAACTGATTAATTGAAACTTGAGTGTGTGCCCCACCTCCAAGCACTTCGTAAGACTGCTTCTGTGTCACTATTTATTGCATGTGTTGACTGAGGCAGAGGGAGAAGCATGTAACAAGTGCCATATATATGTGTATAAAAAATGCAAAGTAGAAATAGCACTTCAAAGCACTTACATTTAGCATGCTACCCAAGTATTTGTGGGATTTTGCTGTAAAGCAAGTGGGAAGAGGCAAGTTATTGTGTGAATTAGTGATCAGTGCAGCTGTTCCTGCTGTAACTGAAATCTTTAAGTGAAGAGAAGGGACTTCTGGAGCTAATGGAGTAAGGATAGCAATTCTGTGTCTTGTTTGTGAAGCAGTCAATCAAGAGAGATTAATCTTCCTGGCAAAGCACGCATTTCAAGAGTGGTATTTGCTGAACACAATTGAATGGTAAGCGCCTGGAATCTAGGATGTAATTCCAGGTTCTGGCAAAGATTTATGCCTTAGCAATTACAGATTCTTCTCTTTGTTCTGTTTTCTGCCAGTTCCCGTGCTTCCCTTCTGTCTTTGGCCTTTCCTGTCTTCATGTTTCCATCATGAAGTCTTCCTGCATAGTCAGCAGCTGAGAGATACTGGGGATATGGGGAGGAGACTTCCCTGTTTCCAGTGGTGCTGTTAAATGGCAAAGTGCCTTGCAGTGAGGAAAGCAGTTGCAAGGGGAGCTCCGTTGGGGTCATGGGTGCAGTACTCTTTCACGTTACGGGGCAGGGCGTGCAAAAGCAGTGCTGATGTTTAGCTGTAAGATCCTGTTACTGATCGTAAGCTGTGTTTTCCAAAGGTGGCCAGCCTAGCAGGCTTCAGGTGCTTTCACTGGGAGAATAATCTTTTGTGATGCTGCAGTGATGACCTACATTGAAAAGGAGGAAAAGTCATTCTAGTTTAATTATGTTAAAAAGATATTTTTCAATCAAGTAGAGGGCTGTTCTCAGCTCTTCCTCTAATGTATTGCATACTTGCTCTAGCAACGTCCAATCAGAGAAACATGTTTACATTTGTTTATGTGATGAAAAATTTAAACACATCAAATAAGTCTGCCTGGAGTTGTGATGCTTGTTCCGCATACCTGCCCTTCAGCACTTGCCTGGTATCTTGATATACAAACTTCCCACTGTTTTTCTAGGTGGTTATCACCTTGTGAAAATAGGAGATCTATTTAATGGACGATACCATGTGATTCGGAAGCTTGGATGGGGCCACTTCTCCACTGTGTGGCTAGCTTGGGACATCCAGTAAGTCTGTTCTAGCTGGTGTTTTTGTTGGGAATGTACAGCATTGCACAAATGTGATCAGAAAGCATCTTTTTACTTTTAGCTAAAAACACAGAGCATAGCTGTCCACATCCTGATGCAGAAGTCTCTCTTGATGTTGTGCATGCACGTGTGTGTGGGAGGGAGTTAACAGGACATGTGTGTGGAAAGATTACTCTTGTGTGCAGCAGTTTCTGACCTGTTATGTCATTTTATGAGTGTTTAAACCTTATTTTTCCATGATGCCTTAAATAAGCAGCTCTCTTATATGCAAAAGAATTAGGGTAATCCTGGAGAATAAGTTCTTTGTATGAGCATTAACAGTCTCCAATTTACTTACCTTGTGTGTGTGTAGAGGGAGGAGATTTGTGGCAATGAAGGTGGTGAAGAGTGCAGAGCACTACACAGAAACAGCACTGGATGAAATCAAGTTGCTAAAATCGGTGAGTGCCTGACAGTAGGGTTCAACTTATTTTTTTAAAACTCATTTTAGGGAGTTCACATTAGTCATGTGCTTGATATTTCTAGATCGTTTAGCTGCAAAGAATTTGGGTAAGAACCTAACAGTAATGCAGTAGATCTGACTTCAAAATATAGTCTTGCCTAGTAAATACCTCGAGGAACACAAAATTAATCCTCTTTTTCTGTGCAGGTCCGCAACAGTGATCCAAATGATCCAAGTAAAGAGCGAGTGGTTCAGTTATTGGATGACTTCAAGATTTCAGGAGTTAATGGTTCTCGTATCCTTTTGTGGAATAAGGGCAAAGAATTGCATGAAGATGGGAGTTTGCTGGGTAGCTGTCACGTCAGGGCGGGTGAGCGATGCCTGGGCATCCCTTTCGCTGCCCAAGGAAACCTGCTGCAGAATCATCTGCCTCAAAACCGCCTGCTAAACTCCCACCCAGAGCGATCGTTCAGCCTGACACAGTAGGTGTAAGTCGTGGAGACAGCACTGCTCGGTCGTGCTGTGAACGTGAGACATGGGGTGGCCACATCCCATGTGTGATGGGATGTCCCAAGTGCCTTTGTGGTAAGAACTCATCTGTCTCAACCCCTCTGTTTTGCAGGCAGCCTGGTAATAACTCCTTATTTAAGGAAAGCAGTACAAAATGTTAGGTCAGTAATTAAAAAGAGCAAACATATGCAGTCTGTAACTTGATAATAAGATGGTTTTCTAGTTACAGAAGCGTCTTACCTTGGACTTTCTCAACATTGTTAGGATGTTTGAAGTGTATTGCTTTGAAAATCCCCTGCAGTTCTGTGAACAGCCGTCTAATAGGCAGCGATTTCTGGCAATTTCTAGTAATGCACCCTTGAAATTTGAAAGCTGGCCTTCTGTGCGTGTTTCTGCTTTGCAGTACCTTGAATTTTATTTCAGGGAGAATCACTAGGCTGCTTGAGGGAATCAAGCTGTAGGTTATAAATGTTTTAACGCTTTTAGAAAACAATAGCCCTGTAACGTATTTCCTCTGACTTTTTTCTAGTACCTAGGACCGAGTAAATGTTGACCTGATCTTGTATTTCTCCCACTCTTGTGAAACACATGCATGTTTTCTGCCAGTGTAGAAGAAAAGCAGCCTAAAACTCCCTAGAAGCTTGGCTTCTAAAGCAAAGGCACAATACTGAATGTGTCACTAGAGTGACTGTAGCTGTTGAGATCTTCTAAAGAAAAAGCAGATAATGTAAATATTGTTGAACTCCAGGCTTGTCAAAAGTTTGTTTTGCTGGTAAAGAGGCAAGAGAGGGCAGAGAAAGTAACTTAATTGTTCTGAAGATGACTTATGAAATAGAAATTTTATTATCTTTTCATATAATGCTAGTACAGGGAGACCTGGCCTCGAGTTTTGCCTGGGGCAAGAGCCTAGGCTGTTCCGAAACGTACATTGTTGGCTTGAAGCTGTCTCAATACCAGCAGGAAATACTGGTACGCACTTGCTTGTGTAACTGGCTTCCTCTCAAAGCAGGAGATTGCTACTGCTGCATTAGGACCATTGTCCTAACTGACTCCATCCCTTTGTATTTTAAGTTTTAGATAACAGCACTGATGTGTAGGGTAGGATGCTGCTGTTAAGGAAGACAGCTTCTCTGAGCTGTGTCAGAAGGTTGAGGGTTACCTAATATAAAACACTTCACTGAAACGGGTTTCTTGTGATCCTCAATCTTGGGACTTCAGGGCTCCTTGGGTCAGGATGTCCATCTCTTTCCTTGACTGAGTTCCAGATATCTGTATGGTGTTTGAAGTTCTAGGGCATCATCTCCTGAAGTGGATCATCAAGTCAAATTATCAGGGGCTTCCACTTCCTTGCGTCAAAAAGATCATCAAACAGGTAAGTTCCACTTCTGACAGCGCTGTTCGCCTCGACCCAGTGAGAACTCTTTCACTAATCTTTCTCAGATCCAAGAAAACAAAATTTAAAAATCAGTGGTGTATCTCTCATGCAACAAAGTAATTCTTAGGTTAATACTTCCTTTCTTTTCTGCAAAAGCCTTGAGCTACAGATACTTATTTTCTGACACTTAAACCATGGCGGGAGGCCGGCTTTGCTTTTCACCTCTTCTTGCCGTGGTTTTTCCTTGTAAGTGAAATTATGTTTTTAAAACTCTGTCATAGTAAGTAAAGTGCTTAATGATGGGAAGAGCAAGAGAAACCTGTTCTTCCTACTGAATAATTGCCTGAGAAGAAACATCTTTCAACATGCGAGGTGGAAAGGAGGAGGAAAGCATGATTTTATTGTAGGGTATTAAGATTAGATTTTCAGCTGTGGTAAGCTATGAGAGTAAAGAGATAGTATTTTAAATCCATAACTAAAATCTGTATGCAAATCTATATTTTTCTGGAACTGAGTAGTAACCACTGATGACATTAGCTCCAATCTGGAGTGTTCTCAAAAAACACGGAAGTCATTCAGGTTCATTGGTCGTCCTAGGCAATGCTGTGTTTTCACTTCACTCTGTTTGCTTATTCTTTGCTTTTTCTAATGGTTGGTTTTCTTCTCTCCTGCCTGCAGGTTCTTCAGGGTCTGGATTACTTGCACACAAAATGTCGAATCATTCATACAGATATTAAACCTGAGAACATTCTTCTCTGCGTTAACGACCAGTATATCCGCAGACTGGCTGCAGAAGCAACAGAGTGGCAGAGATCTGGGGCTCCTCCACCATCTGGCTCTGCAGGTGCTTTATTCCTGAATATTGTTGCTGTTTCCCACACAAACCCTCAAATCACCACTAATCTCACTAGGGAAAACTTCCTAACTGGGTGCAGTAGAACAATAATGCAGGTAACGTCTGAAAAGCCAACCATAAATTGTGAAGTTAGTCTTAAGTAGTAACTCAGAAGATGGTCATGAAGGCAGTGGTTTGTA